CTATTTGGGCGACCGCCTTCGTCATGGAGCAGACTATACATGATTGAAGGACAAATCGTGAGCCTGTCTTTTTTAGCTTTATCGATGCTTCCTTGCCGCTTTGAAGTTCAGATTGGCGAATGTTCCAATTGATGTCGGCCAGGTTCATATTCCTTTTTTTGCATTCTTATTGGCAGCTACAATTCTGCACCATTTCAGTTTTACGCACAATGTTTACTAGCTTGTGTGCCTAAAACTAGGAGATTGGACATGAAGAAGACGAAATATAAGAAGTTCACTATTTTTCTCGAAGAGGTGAGCCATTCGCAAATTTGCCTCAAATGCTTCCTGCATTTTCAAGGTAAACAAAGGAGAAGATGGTCCAATCGTGCAGATCAAAAAGGTTGGGAAAGGAGCTGATATGATAGAAGAGGTTGGATTGTTTTCTTTTGTATATCTTCCATATTATTGGTTCTTAGGTCAACAGGGGTCATCCTGCATTTCGGTCCTTTACTATAACCGACGAAATCATCAAAGATGAAGTAGAAGAGAAAGGAAAATGTGGGCCGAAAATTCATGAGTATTACTCCGTCAGTACCGCTCTGCGTTGGCTCGAGCTTACATTCTCATATACTGGTATATTCATTGCAGGTCACAGACGCAGTGCTACCAGTTTTACGAAGTCGGGGGAATTTCTCCAAAGGCCAGTTATTGGAAAGTACTGAAGTTCGTGAGATAGTGACGGACTACGTGAAGAAAGAAGTTAGTATCTGTATCAGCTTTATTAGCTTTTTTGTTTCCATTACATCCATTAATGCCGTCTCGATCAATATATATTACTGCTCGTCAATTATGCTTGGAATAACTGCGGTATACAAATCCAGACCTCTCAATGTTTTTCTTTTCTTTGTTTTTTCCAAGCTTTTTGTCTATCTGAAACTCAACAGGAACTGCAACGCGGCAAGATAGTTCGACTCGACCCCATTCTTGCGCAAGTCACAAGGATAAATGAGGAGTCCACCGACTGGAATACCTTGATACAAAAAGTGCAGGTAAATCATTAGCAAAGCTCTATTGTTTCTGCTTTCAATCATATGATGTTATTTTAAGCTTTATCTAATTGTCTTGGCGCTTCGTACTATACACTAACTTTTAGCTGCCTCGGTTCTGTTATATAATGGCAGTTCGATTTTGCCTGATATTTTCAGAGCAAAATGACGAAGACGTTTGTACTACGAATGCCAGATGGTCGAGAACTCATACGAAAAATCAACATGCCTAAAATCATCTTCAAGGTAGATTATCTGACTCACTTTCGCTTGAAAGCTGTATAATCAGGTCGAAACAAGATCGGGTAACAAGAAAGTGACGTTAATCAACAACATCTCAGTTTTTGGCATAGATGTAAAGCGACTTTGTCACCAAATTCAGGTTTGGAGTGTTTTTCTCTAGCTTAAGAAGCCGCTGTATATCGTATTTTAGGTCGAGGCTGCCACAAGTGCCACGACAGCAAATGACGCTGTCAACTGTGAAGGACCGCAAATCATAGTGTTGGGAAATCAGGTTTGTAAAAGCTCTTTTATCCTGCTGAACAACCTCTATATTAGGAATGATCATCGTGCTAAGTATGCGTAAACAGCTATTTAGGTTACTTATCTCGGTGAGCTTCTAATGAAAGATTATGGAATCGACAAGAAGTTCATAGAAGGCCTTGATCTTGGAATCAAGAAGAAACGGAAATGAATCCTAATAGTCAATGTGTCAAAATGCTCGGGTTCTCTCAATAAATAAGTAAACTTCTATTATGCTTCATGATGCATACTTTTCATGATTTTTTCTCTGCTGTCTTGGCTCGGGGAAAGGCTTTCGTGTGTAGTCCAGTGGCGATGATCTTGTCAGTGGCTTTATTGATGAGATCAGCCTGAATATGAACATTTTTATGGAATGTAAAATTGTGATAAAATAGGTGTTCTGCGCAGATGTGCACTGCGAAACTTTACGCGCATTTGAGATTAACTGTTCACCATCACCGATAAGTCGACCATAGACTGATTCATTGGTGCAGTCGCACTATTTTTCCTCTGAAAACTGCGCTCCAGCTAGTGAAATCCTATTGCACGCGCTACATTTAATTGTTTTGATCCGCTTGACCCACTTCATTGATTTCGCTATTGCTCATATCAATGAACTGAGCAATAGAAAGAAGAAGAGATCAAGTATGGAGTGTGTCGATAATGTGATTTTCTTTTGGGATCCGCAACAACATTCAAAGCCAAAAGTGTTCTGTAGTGTGCTTTTCAATTTACAGTCGTCACTGCGGAGCACGCGCCGCAACGCTAGGTATAGTTTGTACTGGGGCAAGGTAGAACGCTTGCCCCAGTACAAATCTTCCCCAGTACAAATCGTGCTCTCGCAACATTTCAGCCGCGCCGCGCTTGTCTGCAACGTCTGAGCTGTCCGTGCGGTCAACGAATCGACGATACTTCTAAGGCACATAAATCTGATTTTTTAGAGGATACTCACCCTTGTGAATGTTAGTGTTTTGCCCTCACGAATAACTTCAGCATCAATAAGAACCGTTTCACCTTCTTTGGCCGCCGACAAATACCTGCGATGAAGATCGACGTAGGCGAGCTAAGCTGGAAAAGTAAGAAAAAATACACCTACGTGATGTGCATATCCACACTAACTCCTGGAAGACCACGAGGAGAAGCCATACACGCTTGAGTAGTGAACATATCCACGAGGGTGGCCGTGCAACCTCCATGAAGAGTTCCAGCCGGGTTCAGCATTGCTGGTATCACTTCGAACTCTACTTTTACATGTCCTTCGGTCGCAGAGATCGGTCGGATCTGGGATCTACACATTCGAGTTACGAAGTATAAATTTCTTGTATGCTGAATTCGAAAAATTTTTACCTTTCCAGCAAACTGATGGAAATCTTTT